TGTAATTGCGAATTTAGGTGCACGTCAGAACGCACTCAGGGGAGAAGCCATTTCGTTGCACCGACTGCGGCAAGCAATTCTCGCAGTTGCGAAATTACAAGTACCACCGTAGTGTCCACGAGGGCACGAGGGAATTCGCGGCCACCTGTCCAGAATGCGGCAAGTACTTCAACGACCGCGGCTACCTGAGCTCCCATATGAAGATCCACCGTAACCGGAAGGAGTACGGCTGCGCGGAATGCGGCAAGAGTTTCAATCAACGGGTCGCCTATAACATGCACGTTCGAATCCACACCGGCGTGAAGCCGCACCAATGCGAACAGTGTGGAAAAGCGTTTTCCAGGAAGATGCTGTTGAAGCAGCATCTTAGAACGCATTCGGGCGAGCGGCCGTATCAGTGCCAGGTCTGCCAGAAAGCTTTCGCCGACAGATCGAACATGACGTTGCACACGAGATTACATTCCGGATTAAAGCCATACCAGTGCACGCTCTGTTCGAAGGCGTTCACGAAGAAGCATCATCTGAAGACTCATTTGAATTACCACACGGGCACCAAGCCCTACTCCTGCCCGAATTGCGGATTGAGATTCTCGCAGAGCAGCAACATGAGAACACATTTCAAGAAGTGTACTGTTCATAATCCGTCGGAAGTGAAGGACTCGCAGTCGCACGCCATCATCGTCGATCATTCGCCGAACACCGTGCAAGCGAGAACGATCTCGAGGACACCTACGGACACGTTAACGCCGCCGAACTCCGACCAGGAATTAAGCATCTTGACGCCGATTTCGAAGAGCAACGGGATAGAAGGGAACGGAATGGGCACCTAGCGAGAGCAACGATTTACATTAATCCACTCCGTTCACACGAGCGTCGAGTATTTGAAGAGGGTATCGCTTATTGGAAATGGTTAAAGCGGTGCTCTCGCATTTATCTCGACAAAGTGAATCCACGTGACGAATCGTGCATGATTCCTGACGAGGTCATGCGATGAAATTAGCCATTAGTGATGCGGCGGCATCAAGCGGATAATTCGAAATCTACACGTTTTCATACGATTGACGTGGAGAATTCATCGTGAGTTTTCTCCGGCGCCCTTTTGCGCCAGAGATGCTTTTTGCCCGGCTGCTTGTCTTTTTTTTTTTTTTTTTGGATAAACGATTGAAACGATAATGCACAGCGAGGTAATTTGATGGATAAATCGATCAGGTTGCCGCTGCCCGCAAATCGGTAATCGAACGGTAGAAAGTATTGGATTCATTTGAAAGTAGCACTGTCAGTTGGTAATACGAGAGCTACCATAACAGTACGAACGGCCGCCTTTTCCTAGAAATTGTCGTTTTACGGTAGGACGTATCTGATTCAGCCCGCAAATCATTACGTCAATCCAGAATCCTTCTCTTTCTCGTTTATTCCCCTCCTTCCTTATCGCATACTTTTCTCCCCTCTGACTTTACAGTCGCAAACGGATTATGCTCGTGGAATTCATTCACAATTCGAGAGAGAGTATAGAAAAACTGTTCGTCTTTGATCGCTCGTCGTAGAGAGCATGCGCGCAAGTAACGCGCGGTTTGTCCTTTTGTACGAATGCCTGGTGTACAATGTAATATAAATACGAGCATGTATTATTTACTGTGTAAAAAGATATACAAGCAATAAAATTCCGAGCCTGAAATTGGTGAACTGAAGAGTAGAATCAGAAGGTCAAGATTGTACTTTGATTTCAGTGCCTCTAAGAAGTATTCTTGAAATCTCTAATACATCGATCGCCACTGAAATAACATGAATATTAACCGGCAAAAATAACACACAAACGAAGGAATCATATACTTGCATTTTTATTCTACTGTATATAATAACATATTCCGTCTCGTAGAAAAAAAAAAAAAAAAATATATATATATATATATATATAAATTCAGCGTGGCAATCGATCTGTTAATTAATTCCAATTTATTAATTTCTCGATGAAACAAATTTCCTTGTCCCGTTACCTTTTTTTTTGTTTTCATCAAAAGAAATTCTACTTCCACTAGCAATTAGAGAATTCCAACTACTTTTATTTCCTGGTGTCGTCCTGCACCGTTATCGGAGACGGAAAACTTTCTAGCCCGGGTCAACAATGCGCCACGATTTTCTGGATAAGATCGCCTCCCCTCGCCTGAAAAATCTAATGACTCACTCGCGCAATTAAGATCGTAATTAGAATGACTAGCTTTTTACAAGTGGATTCTCGATTGTGTTCTCCACAGTCCGAGAAAGACAGCTCTGTTGACTTTCTCGTGCATCATCGAAAACGATATATAACTACAGCTTACGTACCTCCTCTTCAACAGCTAGGCGAGGGATCTCTTCTGACCAGTCAAGAGATCGTATCACCTCGAAGATAGCTGTTCCACTCTCTCTCGAATGCGGCGGAAGCTTCGGAATGGTGGCTATCCGCGTGTACAGACACAGGAGGAATCAGCAGGCCTTAAACACACGACAGGAGGTCTACAGCGCGCTCCCATATTTGCTGAAAGCTCCGTTAAACGTTAGAATACAACGAGCATACTGCTTACTGTAATTTATAGCGGACTCGCAGCTCCTACTTCATTGAGAACGTTCCGTTGCGAGAGAGTCAGGTAACGTTTACGGGACTCTCAAGGCCATATTTTGTGGAAATGTTTAACGAACAGCAAAAATGAAAATCTACTGGATCTAAATGGGACAAGTGCGAATTAATCAGGAACAAGTCCGGTAAGAAATTTTGAATGTTTGATTTATGTGTGTACATTTGTCCCAGAGGTCTGAGGATATTTGAAATATAAACCTAACGTGGAAACGATTCTTCAACACACGTGTCGAATTTTTCATATTTTAAACGGGGAAAGAAAAGGTTTTTAATTAATTTGTTGGTTAACATTGAATCACTTGTGAAATATTGACAATGTTCCTTACATTTGTGAGAATGAACATACAAATGCATACAATTGAAAGCACTTTCAAAATCTGTGTACAATTGGCATAAAGAATAAATAATAACAATGACACATTCAACGTGATAATCGTGATTGAAACATCGTTATTGTTTCTTTTTTTTTTTTATAATTTTGACTCACAAATAAATTAATAAATTATTGCCAATGAAGTGTTTAAAATGTTTCTTCAAATATTCAAAATGAAAGGATCGATCTCTTTTTGAATTTTTAGACGTATGTAAATCTTCGAAAATAAAGTTCTCGTAAGTAAATTCGTACATAATAATAAATTTGTACAATAATAATAAATTTATATGGTAAATTTTATTTAACTTTTTTCGAAAAAAGAAAACTATCGATGTGAAGCTTCAACACGATATTCTTTAATATTTTTAACGTCAAATTACATGTTTTCATTTATACTAGAACTCCATTTATTTGAAACAAGTTTTAGTCAACGCTGGATTAAATAAACTCTTGTTGATTGAATTTATTTATTTAGACTTGAATTGTTATTATATATGAATGAAAGATCATTAGTAGGAAAGAGAATCAGTTGCTATTATACGATCTCCAATTATATGAACTATTTTTTCCCAATAAGTTCATACAAGAAAAGTTCTATTGAGTATTTAGTTCTTTCATTTTTCATCTCTAATTGTAAATATGTATATATGTAATTATGTATCTTCAAGAATAGATATTTTGCATGCAAAAAAAAAAAAAAAACTGTTTTTCTAAATGGAGATTTTTGGAGCGATTATCTATTAATCTATTAGCTATTTTCTATGTTCCTATTTGCCCAATTAATGTATTAATTTTTTAATCAATGTTCCATTAATAGTCTCTAATATTTCTAACATCAAATCATACTTTCATTTGTAAAAAAAAAAAGAAGAAAAAAAAATTCAATCCTCACAGATGTTCAAAAGACTTTAATTAAATTAATTAAACCCGATTTAGAACAATGGATGAAATTTCTACTTAGCTTAATCGACGCTCGAACAGGTCGATTTCCCCCCATAGAAGCATGATAATCCGATTGGAATAATATTTTACCAATCTGGAATTCGAAGTGGTTCACGTGTTCACCATTCGAACGGTGAGTTCATATGCTCCTAGATATATATAAAAGTGTCTTAACAATCTTTCGGCAACAAACGAAATTCGAGGAGCTTGGAAACTCCTACAATCCTCAAATTCCACGGCCAGATCAATTCGTGCCAGTGTCTCATAATTCCTGATGTACTCCACATCGAATCTCAAATGTAAATGTTTGATAAACGTTCCAACATCGAGGCGAGCTAATATTTGTTCATAGACGTGCTCGGATCGAAGTAATCATATATGAGAAGGAACGAGAAAAATTCTATACACATATCGGTGATGTAGGCACATAGTGATATATATATATATATATATATATATA